TTACTCTGAGAGTCACCGTTTGTGACTGTTTTCATTACCACTGTCATTATTTTTCAGAAACTCCACATGATTTCAGTGCCTGCATAAGACAACCTATAAAAGAAAGACTATAAAGACAGTGCAGAGGAAAAATGCTTGTCTAGAATAAAATGCTAGAAATAACGAAACTTTCAAAAAGTGCTAATAAACATCCTGTAGAATTCAGAAGAAAAAAGTCAGTTCATTCTACATAAACTGAAGGTAGAGGTACTGAGAAGCTCATCATTGGGTGTTAGTTGTCCTGTCTTCAGTTTTAGGTGTAATAGATTTCAGGGCATGGTCATATCAACTAATCTCACCTCCTGGGTGACAAAAGCCGTAGAATGCTGTTGTTACCTTTGTACCTAACCTGGTAAATCATGTTTATTCTTTCATAGACGTATCTTGATTTGATTTTAAATATATTAAGGTTAGGATTCCTCTCACATGGATGTCTACCCCGTAAAACAATTGAAATAACGACTTTTGGAGAAGTCTACTTTAATTTGTCCTAGTTTAGGTGTCTACTCTAGGATGAGATGAATCACGCCCTAAAAATGTGTATTTTCTCAGTTGTCTGCAAGGGAAGTCTATGGACTTAGCCTACATGTGGATGTCTACGCTGTAAGCTTCTACACTCTGTCAGATGAATCCTCCTACAAATGGCAAAGAATGCATAGTTTTTCTTAGTGGTTATGTCAATGATCGTCACAGTTAAAAACATACGCATTATTTCTAAATTGAGTTGGCAAGACTTTAACTTCCAGCCAATGCTGAATTGGCTATTTTTGTTAGCTGCCATTTTTTCACTTTAAAAAGTGTGAACGTGCCCATAGTGCCACAGATTCCCTTTAACAAATGCTCCGTGTGCATAATAAGGTCTCAAAGCTGCATCAGGGGTAGTTCAGTATGGGTATTAGGAAAAAGTGGTCAAGCACTGGAACAAGCTCCCCAGGGAAGTGCTTGTGGCCCCAAGCCTGTTGGTGTTCAAGTGTTTGGACAATGCTCTTAGATACATGGTTTAACTTCTAGGTTGCCCTGGGTGGAGTCAGGAGTTGGACTTTATGAGCCTCATGGGTCCCTTCCAACTCAGGATTCTATGGTTCTATAATCTATCTGAAGTTTAAGGAATGCCTAGGTATGTGTAACAGTTACTGTGGGCTCAGCTCAGAACCATTAATAGGAGACTTACTGCATGACACATTTTACAGTTAAGCTTTGGCATTAAAATATTTAAATATTCATTAACATTAGATACAAAGTACACAATGTACACTTTTTATTAGCAGCCTGACTTCTAAACAGTGAATTAAATTGTACTATAACGTGGTTACTTCAAGCTGGTCCTGTTGATATGGATGGCAAAGCAAGTCCAGTATTTTGTCAGTATTTTGACCTTCTTATCCATCATTCATGTTACCAAGCACAAATCACATTTCCTGAGCTCTTGCCAAGTGTGTTGAATATAGAATGCTGATACAGCTTTTGTTTTCTTGTATCGAAAAAGCTACATCAGTATTTGGGTATTTAAAAAGAACTTGAAGTCAGAGGGCAGTTTTCTTCGTGCCCAACTTTTGATGTCTTTGACAGCTTTCGTGAGGTGCTGTGTCTAAATTCTGACTTTATTCTTCAGGGGAGTCTAGTAGCTATTTTGAAAATGTAAGACAATTACTTCACTTAGTCTAAGATAATTTTTCAAAGCATAATTCCTAAAAATAAGGGACCTACTGATCTCAGGAGTAAACAGCAATGTTCTCTTTTCTCCCCCTCCCCTTGCCCCCCCAAAACAGGCTGATAAGCCTTGATTGACTAGGAAGAAATTCTTCTCAGCCACTTCATATAATACATGGCAGCACAGTTGTTTGAAGTTTGATTTCTTTTGGTAGGCTAACAATTACAGCACAGTTATTCTGTTCCGATCGTGTGGTCTAGTAAGCAGCAAATGTGCTAAAGTCTCCTTGGTGTTTGCAGGGGATTTCTTTTCCGGAGGCATCTCTCTTGTTTAAGCTCTCTGAGGTCAGCACTGGAAGCTGTGAGTTCAGAAGTTATTCCCCAGGTTTGTGGGGTGTGACTGACACGATGCATATTTAAGAGGCTAACTACTTAGGGGTGATGTTTTTTCAGGCAGTCACTATGTTTGGATTGTCCTGGTTGCAGAGATTTCAGCTCTAGGGAAACCTAACTGCCATTAGCACTTCTTATTTGATGAATACTCAATTAGATATGTCTGACTTTATCATTTATGGAATAAATTATATTTTCTAAATATAATTTAGGAAAAAAAATTTCTAAATTACTTTGATGTATATATTTTGTTGTCATCTCAGGCTGGATTCACCAGAATGCAAATATTTACTTTTTGTAGTGCTTGAAATGTCCATCCCTGTGATAGCAGCAGATATCTTACTGAATGAAACTTAGAGTCTCAGGGAGAGATTGAGAAAGTTAGTAAGACAAAGTAAATGAATGAATAAAAAAATACCCTGTCACATAAGTGGGAATTTAGGATAAGATTTTCACCTGTAAAGTGCATTAGCAGGCAATCAAATGAAGTTTGTTACCTGGCTACACAGTTATCATTTGAAAGTATTCATAGTAGCGATCACAAAAATACCTTGTTTGTAGAGCCGTGTACACTGTATGAAAAATCTGCCCCTTAAGAGCAGTGCTGGGGTGGGCAGTAAACAGCGACGGACCTCAGGATGGTGACAAGGTGTATGAAGCAGGTCTGGTTTATATCCAGAGGATGCTCCTGCCCCCTGAGTCAGAGCTCATAGGATGTGGATGAGAGCACCCTGGTGGGCAGCTGCCCCCTACTCAGGCATTTGACACTTCCAGCAGAGCCAAAGGCAGCAGCGGCAATGCATAAGCAGAATGGAGACCCCAAGCCTGCTCTCCTTCCACCTGCATGAATAGCCTGTGATTTGCAGGGCGATGAAAAAACGTTTTGCAGAAAGAGCGAGCGAGCTATATTACAGCAGCCTCCGCAAATCCTATCATCAGTGTTGTAACACAGTCT